TCCTTTGCTGTAGTAGCAAAACTGTCATCTAAGACTAGTGATGCGGCCTCAGGATTGATCTGAAATTTAAATTTTATTTAATCCCATTCTCAATACATATTACATACAAATTTACCATATCTGTTTGGCAAACATGTCGGTGAGCAGTAAGCGCTGCTTTGGCCGCAGCTAGTTGTGTTCGTTCCCACCGTGAATCACGTACGGTCAGCAGTGCTTGGTAGGCAAGAGTGTGCACGTGTATGCGCGTCAATAGGCGTCTATGCGACAAGCCAGTAACATTTCTGAAGTAATCTTGTGCCAATATTTGAAATACGGAGCGCATTTGATCTAGTGCGGTAGCAACTCGTGGATTCCAATCAGTTGCAAGTGTGGTGCGCCCATGTGTAAGTACTTGACGCAAATTTTCCAGCTCTTGCTCGTTCATGCCCAATGAGTCCACATAGGGTAGCACATATTGACGCAAAAGTTGCAATAGTTCAATTTCGACATAGCTTGCCATTTCGAAATGTTGCAATGTCGTTGGTGCTTGTGAAGTGATTTGATCTTGGACTTTGAGAAGACGGGCTTCACGCACCCCCGGGATAAACCTATAGCTATCCATCATTTGTAGACCACTAATGACTAGCAAACGTGGTTGGAAACTACGTAAAGCTGCGTCGAAGTGCTCAACGGAGTTCAAATGTGGATTATTTTGATCGCTGTGCAGTATATAGCGGTTGGCACGTGGCGCTTTAAACGGGCCCCATGTGTCGCCCGACTTATATTCCAATATGAGATGGATGTCATCTTCGGGAATTTCATCGCCTGCAATTTTTATATCCGCTGGCACAAGTCGACGCAATCTGTATATGTAGGAATAAAAATTATTAAAATTATTGCTCTTTTTAATTATACTAAGCACTTGCTTTCGTGACATTCGCGCTCCCAGCAACACATTGGCTCCTTCCAGGTGAAAACGAGTACCCATTAGAGGCGCATTGCCGCCAAGAAACCATTGTATACCATTGCGATGCCGAGACTTGGCTATCTGTATTAGTTCCCGAAAAAGTTCGGTGTTGGGCATAATCCGCCTATTAAAATAGCATGAATGCAGCAGTTATACTTAATGTAAATATTAAGTTGTGTTTAAAAAAAATTTACTCACTCTGCAGCTGCACCATTTTGGAAATAGTAGGCAAACGTTTGCAATAGTTCTTGCTTGTCATTCACCTCATTCACTGTAAATTCTGGACCGATACCCTTTACCAAATCGTTGGTATAGTTTAGAAATTCGGTTGCATGGAGCAGCAAATCGGTGCAAGCACCGTAACCAACTGCGACCTTTGGCGCCTGGAGTGGTCTTTTTAAGCTACTTTCTATAGCCAGGAGTCCAGTGAGTATTGTAGTTATTTTATTTAGCTGCTTTAGTGACAAAAATGCTTGCCAAACGATGGAGATTAAAGCTGCAAACACCGAGCAGGTGGTCAGTAGCGACATATACTTGATAACCGAGGTCATTTTAGTTTTTTCTTCGTATGTTTTAACCAGTTGGCCTTGAATGACAAGTAGCTCTCGAAAGTCTCTAGGGAAATGCAAAAATATTAGAAAATCTTTTCTACAATAACGACAATCCGATATTTTTACTACAATATTTAATTTTTCAGCTTGTCTGGCTGCTTGAACGTCGCACACTCCACCTCACTTATCACAAACTAACCAAGCGCTTTTTGTTGCTGGTGGTTTACTTTAGACTTATCTTTTGTTATGCTCTTTGGCACGTAACCCCGGCAATACACTAAACCATGATCCTAAAGTTAAGATTTTATATTTCCCAGCAGTTTAAACCCATTAAATATTTATAATGCGAAATAGAAACAATCAGAAAAATTGTATCAAATCGCCAAACAAGACACAATCGCCGGCGGATGGAAACACAGCAACAAAAATGCCCAACAAAAACAAAACTATGCGCCGTTGTCTGCAAATATACGACGGCGACAGATGTAGTTGATTTGGGATTATTGCGCCGTATTCTATGGAATTACGTCGGCGTTTATTGTGCACGATTGCACATTATATTCTGTTTACATAATCTGGATTAATGGGTGTTTTCCATATCGTCGCCTGGGTAAAAGAAAGGTAGTATGTTAATTTCGGCAGGTTGTGGGAAATCGCGATTGAAGTTTGGAATACAATTTCTCAAAAACGCGAAGAAAGATTTTCTCCTAAATCTCGGAAAATGTTACTAGTTCACAAAATTCTTAAATTACATATTTAATTGTTAATGTTTATTGTTAATTACTTTTGAGTTTATGAAGGATTTTCTTTAGTAAAATTTTGTCGTAAGCGTCATTTGCCCACAATTTGGCAGCCACTTTGTATGAAATACGACAAAATATGATCAAAATTTCTACCAAATTAACGACACTTTTTACTCAATATCTCGGACACTAAAGGAGATATCCGAAAAACGCCATTTTTAAGATATTGATTAGTTTAGTATGACTGCATCACCAACTAAACTTTTACAAAATTATCGAAAAAGTTGTAGTCAATATCTCGGAAACTAAAGGAGATATCTAAAAACTGATAACACCAATCGAAAGACCTTATTTAAAAATATATAACTGCATTTAGAACTAAAAATCGTCGAAATGGCGCTTACGACAATCTTTTACCCAGGCGACGATATATGTAATACTTCTATATTGGCGTGTATATTGGCAGTAAGCTAACTTCTCAATGTGTTAACCCTTTCAATACGACTTTTGGCCAGTGAAGATATTTCTGTATA